AAAAATTAGCGGGTTTGTGATTTAAAAGTATTTTATTTTTATCAATAAATCATTTCATTTTTAAAATCAGCTAATACTGCTTGTGGGTTTATTATTGTTTTTTTTTTAATGCTAGGGGTCGTCCATAAAGTACGTACGCTTTTTTTTTGCCAAACACCCCCTCCTCCTGCATTTACGCTTCATCATATATCACATATCACGCCTTTTTGAGCACTCTCTACCTCCCTAAAAGAATCTACGCTTTAAACCTACCAACCCAACATTTTATGATACTTTTTTATATTTAGTGTCTCCATACTTTTATAATTGACCGACTGCCCCCTTATCTCAGAAACGCCATTTGCATTTGACCCTCCTACTTTAGGGACGATTTTTTATCCTATTTTTCTCTTTATAATTTCTTTTTTTCATTTCGAAAATTGGCTAAGATTTTGTTGCTTGTGGGTTTGTATTATTTTTTAAATCTTTTAAAAATTCTTTTTTTCTTTCTTTTAAATTTTGTTTAATATTCATATGTCGTAACAAAATATATTGCTATTTTTAATTTTTTTACATATATATTAATATATATGTAGAAAATAAAATATTGCTATATTTTATTTGCCAAAAACAATTAAACAAAGTTGAACATTAAACAAAGTTAAAGAAAATACAGTTTTGCTATATTTTATTTTCTACATATATATTAATATACATGTAGAAAATAAAATATAGCAAAAACATTTCTACAAAAATATAATCTTTTTTGCACTAAAAAAAAATAAATAAACTTTTTAATAGTTCAGTAAACTAAAGATTGACATGTATGTTTCTATATAAACTTTGCGCAGGCCTGTAAACCTTTAGTTTACTGAACTATTAAATTTAAATTAAAAAGTTTATTTTCTTCTTTTTAGTACAAAAAAGATTATATTTTTGAGCAAATATTTTTGCTACATTTCATTATTTAATTCTTTTTTTAATCTATACCAAAAATTTATTTACTTTCATTCAATGAAAAGGATTAAAACTTAAATGATTTTGATGGGCTGCCACTTCAAAAATATAAAGCCTCGTTGATCTACACCTTTTCAAGATGTAAATGAGAACATAAAAGTTGTAATTAAGAAGTCGTAATATGTAATTAAGAAACACAACATGTAATTGAGAAAACGTTATATGTAATTGAGAAACACAACATGTAAATAAGAAGTCGTAACATGTAATTAAGAAACACAACATGTAATTGAGAAAACGTAAAATATAATTGAGAAATCATAATATGTAATTGAGAAATCGTAACTTGTAATTGAGAACACATAAATTAAAATAGCAAATTCACAGTCTAAGTTTGTAGGTTGTTACAAAAGGTCTTTTTGGACATGAATTTAAGTTATAATCTTAAATTTTGCTTTTGTATGCACAAGTAATAATAATGGAATTGAAAGATCGTTGTGTTATATGCCAATACACTATGACCCGAAAGTCTGTGATTAAGCTAAATCCGTGTCAACATTTATGTCACCAAATTTGTTTACGTCCAGTTCTGGAACAACCAGATTCAAGTTGTCCAATTTGTCGGCATGAAATACACACAACTGAACAAGTTGAAAGGAAACGTTACGTTTTATCTTCTCCAAATGACAGGAGAAGAGTTGTTGAATGTGCGGAGCGATTTGAAAATTGGGTGAATCTCGCGCAAACGCTAGGTATCAAATATAAGACAGCATACAATTGGGTTCGCAGCGGAAATTCAAATTTCATCGGAAAAGGAGGTTTTAAACTGAAAAAGTTGACCGAAGATCAAATCGAAGAAACATTAACATGGATTGAAAATGATTATCAATTAACATTGGTGGCCATCAAAACAAAGATATTAAGACAATTTAACATAAACGTTAGCACAACAACAATAGCAAATTACCTCGAAGGCAGATTGTTCTCATTAAAAAAAGTGCACAAGGAGCCTTCTACAATGAACAGTTATGAAAACAAACAAAAAAGAGCTGAATATGTTAGAAACATCAACGAACATATCACAAATGGTCGTCAGATAGTTTGGTTGGATGAAACAAATTTTAACCTTTTTTGTAGAAAAACGCAAGGACGCGCGAGACAAGGAAAAAGAGTAATTATGAAAGTACCTGCTTCAAAAGGTTTAAACATACACTTGATCGCAGCTATTTCAACTACAAATGTCGTCATGATAGAAACTCGCAGGGGATCATTTAAAGCAGATTCCTGTAACGAGTGGATGTTGACTATGTTTCACCAGTGGGTTACATCCGGGAATCGTTTGGAGGATTCGGTCGTCGTAACAGATAATGCTCCTTGTCACGCTCGTTTCCAAAGGGTGTTTGATAATTCACCAGCTCAGTTGTTACGTTTGGGACCTTACAGTCCAATGTTGAACCCGGTGGAAACGATCTGGTCCAAAATTAAAAGTAACGTTAAAAATGCAATTCGCATTCCACCTGTATTAGGTGACGGGATTGCGGAACAGCGCATGCAGTACTTAGAACGAATTGTAATTGAGGCGAAAAATACTATAATGGGAGGAGATTGGGCACGTGCGGTACAACACACAACCACGCACTATGCAACTATTTTAAATATGAAAGACGTACAAGTTGGTGCTTAAATGATCAATGAAGTGATTTTTAATTATATAATTTTTAATTATAATTTTTAATTGAATTATAAATTTTTCCATAAAATGTTTTTAGTGTTTATTATGTTAAATTCATATGCCCAAAAATTATAAATTTTTCCCTAAAAAATTAAATTTACGCTACAAATCTTACGTCATTTTTAAGTGCGTCATTTTATACGCTCCATTTTTTTACGCGTCATTTTTTTTAAGCGCCATTTTACACTTACTCCTTTAAAGCGATATCTAAATTAAAATTTTCGTGTTCTCAATTACATCTTTCTATTTCTTAATTACAACTTACATTTTCTCAATTACATGTTACGATTCTTAATTACAATTTTCGTTTTCTAAATTACATCTTATGTTTCTTAATTACAACTTACGTTTTCTCAATTACATCTTACGTTTCTTAATTACAACTTTTGTTTTCTCAATTACATCTTACGATTCTTAATTACAATTTTTGTTTTCTCAATTACATCTTGAAAAGGTGTAGATTAAACAATGACGTGCAATATTTTTTAACTTAAATTAAATACGTATATTAACTTATATTAAATACGTATACGTAAATTAAAACTTACGTATATGTAATTATCATTTGTCTTCGTAAACTTCATTGATTTTAATAGTACCTATTAATTTTAATTTAATCACAATAAAAAAAACCGTTTTAATTTGTTAGTTTTTAACTAAAAGTGCCTTATAATACAAATTAAATTTCCTGAAACACAGAAAAAAATTTACACCATTTGGATAATGCTGAACTTTATACCATAGTAAACTTATATATATATATTATATGAACTTTATACCATTGCTAACTTCTTTAAAGTTAAACCTGAATCGTAAAAAACCACATTATATATACCATATGGTTAGGTTTTTCAGATAACATGATTTCTACAACAAGATATCTACAAGATTTGTAAATAGTAAATGTTTTGTAAATATAGTAATGACATTAAAGTGTTGTAGATGTTACACTTTTATGCAATTAAATTTGATAGATAAAATTTGTTAAATTATCTTAAAGTTTTAATTAATAATTTTTAGTTGATAGCTATATTAAGTCAATTTTTGTTGTATTTTTTATTTTTATTATTAGTTGTTGTTGTTATCGCTACTTTAGAATTTTATAGAATGCAGCTTTAGGCGATCAATAAAACTTATAATATTGTTAAAAAAAAAAACTAATAATATAAAAGACACGTGCCAAGTGTCATTATTTTAGACAATTGTGTTGCTTATGATAATAAAACAGGTTTTCTCAAAAACCTTTTCGGAACCTAAACTTGTTTTTGGTGGTAGACTGAACAAATTTTAACCTTTAGTTGAAATATTGCTTGTATATATAATGACCGTAATAGAAGTATAACTGAATTACGTCAACTATTAATAATACTTTTAATTGTTGGGGTAAATCTTAAAAAGTAGTCAAAATTGTTTTAAGAATTTTTTTTTTTAATTATGTTTTTTTTGTTGCATTTTAAATAATCATTTCGTTAAGATATTTAAAATACAAATATATAATAATATATATATATATATAATAATATATATATATATATATATATATATATATATATATATATATATATATATATATATATATATATATATATGTATATATATATATATATATATATATATATATATATATATATATATATATATATATATATATATATATATATATATATATATATATATATATATATATATATAATATATATATATATATATATATATATATATATATATATATATATATATATATATATATATATATATATATATATATATATATATATATATATATATATATATATATATATATAGTACAGTGCGCCGTTTTTAGCTTGGAAAAAATGCTTTTTGAACTTTTTTAAAGGTCCCGTAAAACATGAAATCAAGTGATAAAGAAATTCCTACTAAACGTTTTTTGAACGCTTTTTGAACGTTTTAATTATACAATCGTCGTTCAAACGATCGTTTGAACGACGATTGTACGGTCGTACGGTCGTACGGTCGTTTTAACGGTCGTACGACCGTTAAAACGTTTACTAAACTGTGATCGCACGCTGTAACTGACCACGTTTGGTATTTTTTTACAATTTGACCACAGCTGTTTTAATATTTTAACAATTTAAACGCAATATAAAAAAATCGCTACGTTTTGAATAACTTTTAATTGTTTATCTAAAGTTTTTGTTTTACGCAAAGGCTTTAAATAGTAACAGTAATAGTAATATATTTAAATAAGTCTTTCTAGATAACATGACAAATAATTAAATATACAAAAATTTATTGTTTGCGAAATATAAACTTTAAGTAAAAAAAAAGCATTTGTTATTTGATAGCAAGTAAGTTGATATCAAAGCTGAGAAAAAGAGAAAAAAGATTGTTTTTTATTTAATTAAAGTTTACATCTATAACAAATAGTATCTAAAAAGTCAATATTTGTAGCTGCTAAAGCAAGAATTAATTAATAAACGTGCAGCTCATCTTCAGTAAAAGTTGTACTGTTTGCAGCTGTAGAAGAAAAATACTTGTCAAGTCTATTCTTAAAAGTGTTAACTGACGGAGCCATTTTTTGTGCTGACGGCAAGTTATTCCAATCATTGACAATACGATTTGTAAAAAAATTTTGACGAGCATTATTATATGTGAATTCACGCATTAGGGCGTTGGAAGATGATCTGTGAGTTAGTGGATTATGCCAATTGATAATCTCAAAACTATTTTCTAGCTCAAACTGTTGAATCAAGTCACTGCGTCTCCTGCGAGTTTCCAATGTAGTAATATTGAGCTGCCGATCACCTTTCAAGGTTCTCCTATTAAATCATGACGTACTTTTGTTGCTTTGTGCTGAATTTTTCAATATCTTTGATGTCACCTTTTAAGTAAGGACGCCATACCGGAACAGCAAATTCCAGATGCGGCCTAACATACGTAATGTATAATTTACTCCAAAGCTTCATATTTCTTGATCTATTTTTTTTTTTTTTTTTAGTGGGCTAAGTATTATATTCGCTTTACGTCTTGCAACCTGTATGTATTGATTACATTTTTGATTATTAGATATAAAGATAGCCAGCTCTCTCTCAATATCCGTAAATGATGTATTTTCATCATTCATAACATATTCATTATTATTATTTCCATAACCAAGGTGCATAACTTTACATTTTGAAACATTTAATTCCATTAGCCATTCCTTTGACCATTCTGTGACAATGTTTAAACCGTTTTGAAGGGTGTTAGACCAAGTACAGACCCTTAAAGAACTCTTCTTAGAACGTCGGTCTAGTTGCTAGAGTGTTCACCGAAAACAGTTCTCTGTTTTCTACTAATCAAAAATGACTCAATCCATTTAAGAACATTGCCATTAACCCTATATGCTTTTAATTTAACAAGTAGTCTACGGTGAGAAACTTTATCAAACGGTTTTGCAAAGCCCAAAAATGCAATAACGACAAAATTTCTTTTACTTAACGCTTTCGCGATGTAGTAGACACTTTCCAATAAGTTAGACGAGCATCCTTTTTAGGATATAAAGCCATGTTGATTATGTGATATATGATTATTTTTCAAGATATTTAGCTAACTGTTCCCTGATAACCTTTTCCATTACTTTGCATAGAACTGACGTGATAGACACTGGTCTGTAATTAGCGGCATCAAGACGACTTCTTTTTTTAAACAACGGTGTGAAGTGAGACTATTTCCGAACTGTAGGTGTTGAGCTTTCGGATAGTACTTTATTGTAAAGTAAAGTAAGAGAATAAGTCATTTGAGCTGTGCATTTTTTAAGTACCTTTGGACTAATGTTATTAGCATCAAATCAAATAAAAAATTAATTTTAATTTTTAAAAATTAAAATACGCATTTTTTAATCTAATTTAGATGCTATATTTAAATGTATGTATATATATTTAAATGTATTTATATATAAATATATATATATATATATATATATATATATATATATATATATATATATATATATATATATATATATATATATATATATATATATGTATATATATATATATATATATGTATATATATATATATATATATATATATATATATGTATATATATATATATATATATATATATATATATATATATATATATATATATATATATGTATATATATATATATATATGTATATATATATATATATATATATATATATATATATATATATATATATATATATATATATATATGTATATATATATATATATATATATATATATATATATATATATATATATATATATATATATATATATATATGCATATATATAGGGGAGAGCGGGGCTAAAAGTTATAAGGGTCAGTTGTCATAGTCGCTATTTTGGAATGTTATAGCTGGATTGATGCTGCGATTTTTTATATTATATAAATGGTGTTGAAAGATGACTGCTCAGTTGATTTCATGAAATTCGCGCGAATAGTTTTTCTACAAATCCAAAAAAAGTAAAAAATTCTTTGGTATGTAACTTTTTAACTTTTTTGTTCACATGTTCAATACAGTAAAAATATGCAATATTTGTGTTTAATACATTAAAATGTTTATAGTTTTGGAAATTCTTTTATTGGTGTACTAGTCATTTTTCAGATTCACGGCAAGGATAAAAAGTTATTTAGGTCAAACCTTCCTCTACCCCCTGTGGGGCAAGTTGTCCTATTTTAAAGGAGGTAAGTTGTCATATAAAAAAAATTGCCTCCATACTTTCATATAGTTGTAAAAGTCTTAAATGAATGTTAATAATACATACAATGCTTATTATAAGTGATAAACATCAATAAAATGAATTAGGCATAATATTTAAGATTAATAATAAGCCTTAGTAAACATTAATAAATGATAGTGATAGTTATAGATATTAGACAGTTATAAAGTTTTGCTTACTTGGACTTTTATCCTAACATTTTTTTTTTTTGCTTTATCAGATTTTAAATCATGGTTAGCAATTATCAAAGGAAAACCAGTAGAGGTACCACTGCTAAATGCACAATCTTTGAAGCAGTGACAACTGTAAAGTTACATGGCAGAAGCATAGCCCAGGTGTCTCTAGATTTCAACATCAACTATAGAAGCCTACAACGCTATTTGTCAAAAGCCTCTACAGAAGATCTTCAAGAAAAATCGACAATACCTTCATTTCACACTGGCTACGTACAACCTAGGTTTGTAGATTGTTAATATGTTTAAGGATTATAATATTTGTTATTATAAGTGACTCCATAAAATAAGTATTTATACTGGTATATATTTTATATTATTTCAGGCAAGTGTTGACACAGGAGCTTCATCTTGAACTCTGTAGTTACTTGCAAATAGCTTCAGATATTTACTTTGGCCTTACACCAAAAGATGTTAGGAAACTAGCATATCAATTAGCAGATGCTAATAAATTGGCTATGCCAAAATCATGGATGGAAAATCATTGTGCTGGGAGAGATTGGTTTACGTCTTTCCTACAAAAAAATCCAACATTGTCTTTAAGAGCTCCAGAGGCCACAAGCATTGCACGTGCCATAAGTTTCAACAAACACAATGTTGAAATGTTTTTCAATAATCTTCAGGTGTGTCTTCAACGTCACCAATTCTCAACAGCAGATATTTTGAACATGGACGAAACAGGGACAACTACAGTTCAAAAGCCTGATAAAGTGATCTCAAGAAAGGGCCAAAAGCAAGTTGGGGCAATAACCTCAGCAGAAAGAGGTGCTTTAGTTACCTTGGCATGTGCTGCCTCTGCTATTGGTAATAGTATTCCACCTTTTTTCGTATTTCCGAGAGTCAATTTTAGGGAACACTTTTTAACTTCTGCGCCACCTGGCAGTGATGGGGACGCAAATCCATTTGGTTGGACGAAGGAAGACACTTTTTGTAAATTTCTTACTCATTTTGTAAAGAATGCACGGCCTTCAAAGGAGCATCCAATTTTGCTACTGGTTGACAATCACTTTTCGCACTTGTCATTGAATGCACTAGACTATGCAACAGCAAATGGAATTATTATGTTAAGTTTTCCACCCCATTGCACCCACAAGTTGCAGCCACTAGATAGAACAGTCTATGGCCCTTTAAAAAGGCTGTAAATACAGCCATCAACAGTTGGATGGTCAGTAACCCTGGAAAGGGTATGACAATTTACAATATTCTAGAGATAGTGAAGGTTGCCTTTCCATTGAGCATGACGCCAAATAACATACTGAACGGATTTTCTTCCTGTGGCATCCACCCATTTAACCCTCAAATATTTACAGATTTAGACTTTGCTCCAAGTTTTGTAACAGAAATGTCTATGCCAGTCAAAACCAATCCTCAATTAACAATGCCTCAAGCTTCAGAGGTTACAGTCTCACCAGAACAATCCACTTGTGCTTCAACTTTAAGTTTGACTTTGTCATCACAGGAGCCTTCAACATCTCAAGCCAAATCAATTTCTGAATGCTTTGAGCTTGCATCTCCAGATAAAGTAAGGCCATTACCAAAGGCACTAGAAAGAAAGCCTTCCAAAAACACACTCAAAAAGAGAACTTCGTCTATATTGACTGATTCCCTTTTCAAAAATTCTATGAGGTCAGCATAGCCACTGCCAAAAAAATGGAAAAGTTCTGCTAAGGGAAAGGGAAAAGGCAAAGCAACAAAAAAGCATACACAAGACTCATCATCACCATCAGAAGATGAAACCTACTGTATTATTTGCATGGATACTTGGGCTAATAGCAGAGATGCTGAAAAATGGATCAAATGCTGTGTGTGCTCAAACTGGGCACATGAAGAATGTACAGCAGGAGGGTCCAGCTACATTTGCCATAACTGTGACTCTGATGATGATTATTAATGGTCATTTTCAAAGTGTTTTAGAGTATGAATTATAGTATAATTTATATGTTATTTTTAATAATTTATAAATGATTAATATAATACTTGTTTTCTATTTGAAAATATTTTTTTTTACCTTTTAGACCTACACTTGTGATAAAATATATTTATGAGAACTTGCCCCTCTTATCATGACAACTTGACCCGACGACGGGGCAAGTTGTCATACCATGGAGCCTTCTTTAGAAATGGTGGCATGTTATACTCAAATGGTCTGAAGCTTTCCAAAGTTGTTTTTTAAATAACTATAATGATAAACTACCATATAAAATAGTTTTTATGAAAATTGACCAATTGGTTTTTGAAATATCTTGAAAAATATAAAAAGTATGACAACGTGCCCCGCTCTCCCCTACTTTTTTTTTTTTTTTTCAATAATAAAATTTCACTTTTCAATGATTTAAATAAAACTTATTTATAGTTTATTTGTTAAACAAACATGAGAAGTAATTTGTAAAAGCATTTTATTATATTAAATTTCCTCTTACACCCAGTAATAAATTACGGGTAAAATTAATTATAATAAAATTGTCACCAATTAAATTATAATCAGCTTAAACGATACGACTGTCACAATTGTTAGAATTATATGCTAATAACCAAGCGGTTTGTTTTCCACAAATTATTGGATCAACTTTCTTGGAACATTTTCCTTTATCAGTTAAACAACTATCTCTTTTTTTTCAAATTCCATTACTGGAACGTTTCTTTCAATATTGATACAACATCAGATAGCAGGTCTTCAATCGGTTTTGTGTATTTAATTTTTTTGCCATTTAATAAGCACTGGACAAAGTTTAAACCAAGTGTGTTGCAGGCTTTAAACACTTCATTTGTAAAGAACTTTTTATTCTGTATTGCCTGTACTTGATTTATTATCAGTGAATAGCAAGTTTGATTTTTCAAAAAAATCAAAAAAAATTTATTTAAAAGACTTACTTTGTTCCTAAACAGAATAATTGAAATATCCTCTTTTTCAAAAAAAAGAATGTAAGTAATTTTTACTGTACTTCGAGATACATAAAAATGATTTTAAGACTGCTCTTCCAACAGCGTCTATTTTGCTAAGAAAACTAATATCATATTTGCATTGCTCTAGACCATATATAAGCTTCGGCACAGCTAAGGTGTTGTACAAATGGACTTTTGTTATTTTGCGTAACTTTAATAAAATGTTTAAAAAGATTAGTTTAAAAGTAATTTATTTTAAACACAACTAAAAACATAACAAGAAATCATTTTTGTTTCGAGTTTTCTTGGATCCTGGCATTTTTAACATTTATCACAGAGTAAATTAAATTAAATAGCAGCAAAGTACTATGTTTACAATTTGATGCACTCTAAAGTAGTCTGAGTACTGTATTAAAAGGAACTTAAGTGTTATGAGAAAACGGCCCGCGTTTCCAGAATAGTTAAATACTATGACTATGAACTAACAATTTTCTTAATAGCCGCTTTAAACGGGTATAATCAAAGCCGACTTAACGGATCACTTCCCGATATTCATATTTACTGATAGCGTAACTCATTGTAATACTCCCCTTTAATCATCAATACTCGTAAGAAAAACTAATGAAAGCTTGTTATGCAATTTTAAAACTTTATTAATTACGTTGATTGGAATCTTATATTACAATCGCACGAGGCAAATAATGCTTATAATTTATTTTTCAACGAATTTTGTAAAATGTATAATAAAGTATTTCCAACTAAAATAAAAGTATTAAATTCTAAATCATTTTTATCCCCATGGGTATTTAAGACGTAAAACTTTTAAAAAAGAAATAGTTTACAAAAATTATCAAAATTTATTTAGAAAAACAAATCAACGATCAAATATTACTTACTATTAGCACGGAACTTTATATTTAATTTAATTTGAATGTTCAAATTATGTCCAAATTTGACTTCATAGTGCACCAATAAAAACACTTTAAGAATTTGAACCACTCAATATAGTTTGATAAAAATTGGTGCAAATGTAGCCAATAGTCACACCAAACTCTGGACAAAATTTCAGCCTGATTGGATGACTGGTGTAGGATTTATTGCAGTTTTAGTTGGAGTTTTGTCAGTTTTTTGCTACTTATACCTCAAAGCGTTACCGATTACTTTGAAATTCAACCACTATTTTTAAAATAACGGTTACATGAGTGTTCTCCTATGTAATACTAACAACTTTTGTTATAATTATTTTATCGGTACATGTACAGTTTTCAATTATAGACCAAAATAGCGATTTTTTACTTAAAGCGTGATTTAAATAGTCTTATGCTAATGGTGTTGACACGGCCTTTAAAGAGGAGGGGGTCAACCCCTCAATTTCTAAAATAAAATCTATAATTTCTAAAATAATTGTCTATATTTCTAAAACAAAAAGTCCTCGCAAAAGAAAAGTGGGCAGGCCATGGCTTTCTTGACGGCCATGTATGCATAGCGTGAATATACTAACATTTCCTAAGGTATAAACTGCTGCCGAATTGGTCGACAGTAGTTTATACCTTAATATAGTATGCCAAATTGGTCGTTCAAAGCTGCAAGATAAATATCCTCTTATAGAGCAAACCACTATTAAGAAAAAACCAAAGTTGTGTTACAGCAAATGCCTCAGCCCTTTAGGAAAAGGTTTGCCCCACCAATGCTCTCAAATAATGTTAAGGGAAAACATTCAATCTTTAGCAGCAAAAGATGCCAAATCATTTGAACGAATTGCATCTCGAGTTATTTCCAATAATGAATTATCTCCGGGAGGAACTATTCTACTGGCTAAAGCATCCGGCGGGCCTCCATTTTCAGTTACTCCTGGTAAATATTTTTACTTAAATAATTTTAACATATATATTGAAATAAAGTCTTAACTATTAAGAAATAACACTAGATAGATTTCAAGAAGTATATTTTTGACAAGTTTCTAATTTCTTTAAAAACGAATCATTTGAAAGTTTTACACAAACTAACTAAACAAAGTTTATTGTAACTATAAAATAAATGTTTTGGTTTTAGGTCAAAGTAGTGCGCAGGCACCATCAAGTGCTCCGAAATTGACCACTGTAGCCCTTGTAAATGCGCAATTAAATACTGGCCTGTCAAACAACGGATTAAAAAAACTTGTTAGATCTGTAAACAAAACATCAAGCAGCAAGATGGTAGAGCAAAATTTTTACATGAATTTTCTAAGTCTAGGTCAACAATTGAGCAATTTCTTCACCTCCAGCGACTTAAAAATCACAGACGAAAAAACAGATTCTTGTACAGTTCATGTTGTTGCTCATTGCAATGATTTATCAAGTCTTGTGAATTATGTTATTCAGTTCCGCAAAATTTCTAGTGGCTATATTGTTAAGCTCGAAATTGATGGTGGCAAAGGTTTTCTTAAGTTTTGCCTAAGCATTGTTGATACCGCGTTAAGGGATGAAACCGCAATAACAACAACCTCTCACTCAAAGGAATGATAAAGACACTGGAGTCAAGAGACAAATTATTGTTAGGGTTTCAGAAGATTTGCCAGAAACACACTCTAATATTGAACAAATTTGGTCACTGATTAATGCAAATGGAGCTAAACTAATTTTGGCTTTTGATATGAAAGTTACAAATATAATTTGTGGTCTTTAAACTTATTCAAGTACGCACCCTTGCACCTGGTGTGACGTCAAATCCAATTGTCTAGCCAAATCTGGAAATTTGCGAACACTGGGCTCAATTAATTCAAGTCTTAAGTTTTTTCAGCAATCTGGCGGGTTTGTTGCTAATGCATCAGGTAGCTATGTATGAATGAAAAGTAGACAAGTTTTAGACTTTTTTGTGACAAAAATGGTCTTGCTTTGTATAGTAAACCAATGTTCTTTGATATTTTTGTGTTAATGTAGTTTATGTGGGGTTTCCAGGAGATACGTTCGTCAATTAGAACTCCTAAAAACATTGTATTTAGAACTCTTTTGATGGTTATATTTTCTATATTAAGTGTTAGTAGGTTCAGGGGTATTTTTTTAATTTGTTGATTAGAGTGAAATAGTATATGCTTAGTTTTTTCTATATTGAGTGACTGTTTATTGGATTTAAACCATATATTAATTTTATTTAGTTCAGCATTTGTTTTTTCAAAAAGGTCTTCAATTGTCTTTGCTGAGTAAAATAAGTTTGTGTCGTCGGCAAACATTATAGTTCTAAAGATATTAGAGGCATTTGGAAGATCGTTTATATAAATAAG